AGCTCGTCAGTTCTTTTATCCTTAATTGTTTGACACTCAGATTATGAATTGTCTAGCAAGACACAAAAACCTTTCTTTATTCTAAAAGAGGGCAGTAAGTGCCATGATATAAATTACCGAGCTAAAAATCATGTTGTAATGTTTTGTTTTGGTTTGCAATCGATCGCGCGCTTCATCAACACGAAGGCGTCCTACTTCAACACACTTAGGTTGGAGAGTGAAGGAAAATTTCCTGAAACTTTTAAATCTCAGTTGGAAAAAATTAAAAATGTTATTCACCCGCCGATCGGTCTGACTATCGCCCTCGGCCAACGGCCTCGGGCGGTACTCAAGACCTCGGGCACAGGTTTTCCCAACATGGACCTCCCAGCCGGTGAATAACATATATATACGCACTCTAAACATGAATGAATTTTTAAATTTCGGATAGAAAAACATTGTCTGGTGAAACATTTTGTTTTCTTGAAAAACGTTTGGTATCATTATTTAAATTATCGTGCTTCGAGTAACTTTCTGTTTTTGTAAGCTGCTGATTGGCCCACAGCCAACCTTTTTGGAATGTATTATTATTTTCCTGTAACCTGATTCGTCAACTTTGCCGAAGTGGCCCCGGTTACGGTAGTCGTAAAGCAGTACATAGGCTCCTTGCAGCTTGAAATTTACGTGGTACAAATCCGCCATGCTGAAGAACAATAGACGCAATGACATACGACAAACAAAGAGCACACAGCATTTGAAATGGTAATTTTCTTTTTTTGTCTTCTCCCAGTGCGTCACTTGCTCTCCAGCATGGCGGTTTTGTACCACGTGAGTGACAAGCTGCAAAAGGCCTATTCGTGTGCCTTGTTCTGAATCGCTCGACGAATATGTCTGTGGCTTTCTGCCAGATTGGTTTCTTGGGATCTCACAAGAACCGGACACTCTGAAATTGCTGTAGAATTTGAACTTTCTTGGCTTTCGATCGTAATGATCACCTTGGGCTTGTTTATGTGCTACCCGCGCCTCCCTGATGATCTCTAGATAGGCATGTAGATTTTGATGCATAGGGAGTAGAAGTTGATCTGGTCGGATTGGGTTCGCGCGGTAATAATAATAATAATAATAATAACGCGAATATTTATACAGGATAACCTATCAGTTCTAATAAAAAGAACTGTTATCAAAAGGGTCCTGTAATTATCTCATAATTAGCTAAAAAATAAAAAATAAAATCGAAAAAGGAAAATAGAATAAAATAACACTAAGAAATCTAAGATTTAAAAATCAAAATCTGTAAAAATCATCGACTTACAAGACTGAAAAGAGTATGAATTATGGAATACTATTGAAAAAATTGTTTTAAATTACTCTTAAAAAGAAACCTAGAGTTTACAGTTCTTAAATGCCGAGGTAAAGTATTATAAACTAGAGCCCCTTGAAAGGCAAAACTTCTCCGTCCAAATTCTAATTTGGTTTTGGGAAGTTTTAGTGAACACCCATTGTTTCTAGTGTTAATGTTGTGTTCAATTTTTGTAAAATATCCTTTAAAAGGGGTACAGACATTATCCTGAAGACAATCAAACACAAGCTGGCAGGACTGCCTCTTTATTAAACTCTCCACTGTCTGGACTTGATAATTTCCACCAATGACTTTCTGACTTCGACGTTCAATGCTTTCAATTCGACTCTTACGGGAATGTGACCAACAGAGACCCAAAGTTCCACAGTACGTAAAAACAGGTTGAATCATTGCTTTGTAGATTTTCTCAGCACTGCTCTTGTCGATTAAAGGTCGGATTCTCCTGAGTAAATTAAATCTTCCAGCTGCTCTTTTATACATTTTGTCAAAATGTGATTCGAGATTTAAGGATGAATCCAAGGTTACACCCAAGTATTTATACGATGACGTGGTATTAATCAGTGTTCCATTTACAGTCAAGGCTAGTTGTCTTCCATTCAATGCATTAAGCCTTTTGGCAGTACCAAAGATCATACACTCAGTTTTGCCCTTTTTTAGATTAAGGACAAGCTCATTATCACGAAACCAAGAAGACAGGTTGTGGCAATCTTCACTGAGATGCCTTTGAATGGATTCCAGATCTTTAGCAGCCGTGAAAATTACTGTATCATCCGCATCCGTAGATCAGTGTTGCAAGATCAGAACCCGACTCTTCTGCCTCCATGATACCCTTTACGACTTTGACCATGGCTTCAATGAAATCTTTCGATTAAGGATAGCTTTGGCTAAAGTATTATCATGTGGTATTAGTGGTTCCTTTTGTTGAGCAGGCTTCTATTTCTGTGATATGTCACATAACTTAACTGCATTTCTTACATAATCCGAGATCCCGGACCAAAAGACTGTCTCCTGTGCTTTCAACCGAGTTTTTCCCCTGCTAAGTAGCCCGTTTGAAGATCTTTTAGATACTTTGCTCTCAGTGAGGTTGGAATCACAAGTCGATGGGCTTTGAACATCAGACCATCTTCAACAGAAAGCTCCTCCCGGTAATTACAGTACGTAATATTACACTCGTCCTCGGAGTTGCTGCTCCTGAAGTGGCCAACCCTGAAAGATTTAATGTCGTAACTGGCTTAGAGCTGAATCAGCAGAGGTGGCTACTCTGTTTCTGTTCAAGTCGGTTGTCTGTTGCTGGACGGTTGAAGTGAGGTGAATCACATCCATCTGCTTTGAGTCCATAGGCTTTGGACTAGGAGGGTTGACTCAACTTAGGACGTGTGTCCTTCCTACAGTTTTCCCCCACTTGGAGTTCGTATCTGGCAAGCCTCAGAAGAAGGCATTGATGTCTCAGACTGGCAGTGGCAAAACTCTTCTTCCAACTCATCTCCAGAGGTTAGTGTTCTGTTTGATCTCTGACTGGTTCGCAAAACGCATAGTTGTGAAGCCTCCCCATGGCGAACGGCCATTCCTATCAATTCTCTCTCGATGTTGGAATAGCGTTCCTCGCCGGGAGTGACGGTTCTGAGTACGTAGATGACGGCAGCATGGAATCTATTTGTTAGCTGTTTGCCCTTATTTTCTTCAAAACAATGTGTAATAAAAACAATGGAAAACCATTAAACCGCTAGCCCAAGAAAGTGGTCGCGGTCGCTTACAGGAGGTGGTCGTTTACGAGAGATTCCAATTATAAGGCTTCGACTGGGAAATTTTTGGTGTTTTTGATACTTGGGCGCTTACAGGAGGTCGTCGCATATGGAGGTTTGACTGCATTATATATGTAAGTACTATAGTTGGCACTGAATGTACCGGGGGATCTCATTAACTTGCGGAGGAATACATTAACGCCGATGACGTCATATCCTTCTGTCTTTATGTCATGAATAAAATGCGGAGGAATCTCCATCTCTTCTCTTCTTGTGTTTCTAATGTAATTGTGTTTTAATCCGTGGACTCCTTTCAAGCCAGACACGAGATACCCTTTTTAAAACTTTATTGAAAAATCATTACAAAGAGAATAAAATATACAACATTTTGAAAGGGATAAAAAAAAATCAATCATCTTCTTCCCCTTAGAATACTTGTAATTTTTTTTGTAAGGTTGGGCCCGAAATTTCGTATGGCAGGCTCGTCTCTTCTGTTTGCCATGAGCATCATCGTCATCATCATCCAAATAATTTACAAATTGAATGCGACGCCTTTTGCGTTTCGGGGCTTGTGATGGGGTTTCTACTGTGGAAGGAGGGGTCAGGAAATAAGGATTTAAGGATGGTGGTGCGGTGGAACCTTCTGTTTCAGGTTTTTGTAAGATGGCATCTATTTTATCTGTTTTGCAATTGAAGGTACCTCTTAGCTTTTTGATCGTCACCCTTGAAGGTCGTTTTGAGAAAGCACGTCGTCCATGTTGCCCTTTATCTCTTGCATAGCTGGAAGAAGTGGGAGAGGTGAAAGATTTTGCTGCCTTAGATATTTCAGAAGCTCTTAAGGAATATTGTTATGAAACCCTGCTTGGTTAAAGCCTTCGTCACTGGGTAGGGCGTTTATTCGTAGTCGACAATTATCTTGTGTTGTGGTTTTCAGATCAATTAGTAGGTAACCAAAGGGTCTTTTCACAGTCTTTTCGTACTGGTTTAAAAAGAAATCAGTTTGCCCAGGGTACATTTGATTGTCGAGAATCAAAATTTGCAATTTGTCTCGAGGGTTCTTGAATAGCATCAAGTAGTGACTGTTAAAGCTTACGCTACGGCTACCTTTCCCTAATGAAATAGACTCTGCACGATATAAATCACGCTTAGATTGCGATAACTAGAACCACGAGTAAAGAGGTTCACAATTCGCTTGTCTTTACTGGCGTAAATCATTTGATCATCAAACACGATCAAATTTCTTTTGTTCACATCAAAATACGACTCCTACTTCAAAGCCGTGGGAATTCTCCTGACAAATTCAATGTATGGCATGGCCACTAGCATTTCTGTATACGCAGGCTGCCATTGTGAATAACACCAAACTATCCTCTCTGGGGGAAGGTAAATTTCCTCTGAAGCTTGCCGTAATAGAGATCGAACCCAGGCTGTCATTCCAGACCCAGTCATTCCGGCAACCATGCACGTGAAAGGATGATCGAAGCGAAACCGCTCACAATTTATTGAAGGCATTGGAACTGTTTGAAATGGGGTGAGACTGGCTTTGCAGTGTTTAGACATCACATGCCTTTGCATGCCATCCTTTCTACTAAACGAGTTTTCGCAAACGGAGCAGAACAAACTCATGTCAACATCTCAGGAGCAGAATGTAGACTGAGAAAAAGGTAAAATGTTGCGCATTTATATAGATTTACTTCTCCTCCTCCTCCTCCTCCTCCTCCTCCTCCACCACCACCACCATATTTCTATTGTTTTCTTCCTCCATCACTACCACTGCATTTCTATTGTTTTCTGTGAAAGACCGTAAATTACCACAATTAGTTAAGTTTGTAGCAATGTCTTAAGTTGTCAAGAACAACCGTGGTTTTCTTCAACTGTTAGCTGTTTGTCCAGCTCATCAGCGCCACTTTCTCTTACGGACAGCCACTCCACAACAACTACATGCATTAGTCCAAGTCTTCTACAATGTACTTAAGGAATACATTCTCATCCCCGAAGAAAATAAGCGGAACGTGTTCTCATACAAAGATGCTCTAGTAAACTTAGCAGAAACAAATGTCCCTTACAAAACAAAAAAGCGAATCCTTGTACAAGAGGGTTTTATTCAGACCTAGTGGTCCCTGCTGTTATAAGTTTAGGGTTTTTGATGCTATAAAAGAGGAAACGAAACTATAAGTTACTCATTTGCAGCCTACCTTCCATCTGTACTGGTCGAGATAAAGAGAAAGGTAGACTTGATAGATGGAAGCGAGGATGAAAAACGAAGGATTAAAGATGTCTTGAGTATATCTTTCTCAAGCGGTGTCTAAATAGCGTGCTTCTTATTTGTTGCCTAGCATGGCTACCTCCACAAATACTCTATTCTGGACTCCCCGCGGACTTGCTTCGAGATAAACGTATAATTTCCCTGAAAAACATTGCAGAGCTCGTTGAGTAGGTTCTACTACCACACAACGATAACGTGACCAAACCGTGCGCGCTAAATACGTTCCTAGATGGACTTGCGGAGTTCCTTTCTATGTAGAAACGAGATGACATAGTGATTACAAAGCCCGATAAACGTTCTGGCGTTGTTGTTATGAACAAGACCGATTATGATTGTTTACTGTGTGAAGTGCCGATAAACGATAATACCAAATTCATCCCTGTCGGGCCGGAAAGACCAACAACGAGAGGAAGACCACCATAATACTACCATCCTTTATTTGAGAAAGAGAAGCATCTTGAAGCGTTCGTTCGTAAGAATCCTCCCCAGGGAAATAGCGGATTCTCTCTGCATTGAAGGTTCCGGGCTAGCCCACCTCTATGGCCTCCCAAAGATCCATAAAGAACGTCTTTCAATGACACCTGTTTTATCTGCCATAAATACGTCCAGCTACGCTCTGGCCAAGTGGCTCGACGAGAAGTTAAAACTTTTATCGGTCAATGACTACACGATCTCTGATGTTTTTTAATTTTCCGAAGAGATCCAGCAGCTTCAAATCATGATCATAATTTCATGGTGTTGTATGATGTCACAGCCGGCTTCACCAACGTACCGTTAGATGAAACTACTCAAATTCTGGCAAACAAATCCTTCACCGGGAACTGGTTCAACAGCCCACACGGTCTCAACATCAATGAACTTGACTTAATCGAATTACTTACAATTGCCACTCAAGATCAACTTTTCCAGTTCAATGGTGCTTTGTACTAGCAAGTAGAGGGCGTTGCTATGGGACCACCACTGAAACCATTGATGGCGAACACCTTCATGTTCTCATGTGCTAGCAAATGAGAACAAGCTTTCCGATTTCTACAGGAGGTATGTCGACGATACCTTCGCCCTAGCACCTGATCTACCCGCTGCCGACGATTTCCTTGCATCCTTGAACGACGCACACCAGGCAATTCAATTTACAGTGCAAACAGCAGTTAACAATAAGTTACCCTTTCTTGGCATGGTAATCATCAAGACCTATAATCGCCTCAATACCTGTGACTATAGGAAAACGACCAATAAAGGACTTGCTGCACTATCAAAGCCACATTGACAATAGATATAAAAGATCACTTTTAAGAACTATGATTGATTGCGCTAACCGGCTATCTTCCTCCCCAGCGCTATTCAGTCAAGAATGTAAAGAACTGAAATCCATTTTCCTGAAAATGAAATATTCAGAGAAGTTGATCGATTTTACTTTTGCCAGATTTCAAGCTACTCTTGGGCAGAACCAAGAGTCCATCGCGCAAGCTGACAATCCTGTTCGGATCGTTTTACCATTTAAAGACTAGAAATCTGCCGACTTCGAGCGCCAAGAATTACGCAGCCCTAGTAGAAAAATCGGTCATGTGTTACAGCCAGCATTTACAAGTAGAAAATCTCTGAAGATCTGAAAGTTACGGAGAGAAAGCCCGTTTTAGTAAACCAACAGAGCGTTGTTTACGAATTTAAATGTAGTTCGTGTGATGCGAATTATATTGGTTACACAAGCCGCCACCTCCATCTACGCATTAACGAGCACAGATACTCCGTAACTGGCAAACACCTCAAAGAAAAACACCAACAAGAGCCAACTAATATCCAAGAACATTTTAAGATCCTTCTGAAATGCCGAGGAAAGTTCGAGTGCCTCATTTATGAGATGTCGTTAATAAAGGAAAAGAGACCATCCTTAAACACTCAACCCGACTCCATTCCAGCAAAACTTTTCATTTAATTATTTAGTTCTTTTGTTCTTCAAATTTAATGTTTTACACCTTCGTTTGAATTGGCTTCGGTTGTTGAAGTACATCTCTGTAAGACACCATCGAAGTTCAGAAATTTTCATGACAGGCCAAAGAAGAAAAAAAGCAAACGCGCTACAATTCTGGTACCCAATTTTATCGAAAAATAAGGACTTTAACAATGGCAATTCGCTACGGATGATGGAACAAGAAGATATTTCGTCTTGTTACTTTTCGAAACGAAGAAACTTTGCAGCCGTTAAATAGGTTATTTCAGTCACGTTTCGCTAAATTTACCGGACTTCGATGATTTCGTTTGGATGCTGCCTTCAGGAATCCAAGCTAATTCTCAGGTATGTTTTAGATGAATTTCTAAATGTGTGAATAAATGAGGACTGGGAGAATTTGAGGCTATACCACATGCAGAATAATGACCCAGAAAATAACTACTAAATTAAAGTTTTTGTCACCGTTAAAACCTGTTAATCTTTTTTGAATCATGTCAGTTCAAGGACGGTATTTCTTTGAAAGTATCTTCTAATGAAAGAAGAAGAGTTTATCTATTGATAGAAAGTGTCCAAATTTCTTCTTGCGGCTTTGTTGCGAATGCGAGGAGAGTTGATGTTAGCAAATTTCGCGTTGAAAATAAGGCCATTTTGAGACTCCGACCACGAAAACTGTCAATCTTTCTTTTTTCGAAAATAAAAGGGTTTTTGCGAAACCAACTTACCTCAGATTCCTTATCTACCTAAAAGCTATCTATGGACAAAAAAAATGAAGGAAATCGATTTTTCAACGCTTGCCACTCGATGCTCGATATTTCCTGACCGTCGCTCTTAAATGTTTTACAAAAACTTTCGTTATCAAAAACGGTATCCCATGTCTGGTTTGAAAGGAGTCCACCAATCAGAATACAACGTGGACATTATCATACCCAAAAAAGGATATTGGCGCAGACAATTAAAAATAGACAATGACATCATACCCACATAAGAATATGACACACATAATTAAAAATAAACTATAACACCACCGATATGAAAACCTGTCAAACCGGTTAAATAAAACTGCAGAACATGACAAACAAGTTAAACCGGTCTATTGTTTCTATTGTATTAGAAATACAAAAAGAGAAGATAATGAGATTCCTCCGCATTTTACTCTCGAGGTAAAGACAAAAAAGGTTTCACTTAGTGTCTACTACACTACTTATGAATATATATTTTAAATTTTGTATTTGTAACATTTTATAGTAACGGTTAGTTTATTTGAGAATTTTGCACTCGCTCCAACCTTACTTGCAATTATGTGAAAAAAAGCCCAACAGTTTTTCTTCCACTGATCTATATTTTTTTTTGCTGCACCAAGTGACAGGAGACTTGCATCAAGCATAGAAAGTAAACATTAGGCAACTTTTTCGCATTTCGTTCACACGCAAACTAGCGCTGGCAACGCCAATATCCACCTGAAGCAGGCCATACCGCTTTCTTTTAACCGCCATTTCCAGGACGCTATATTCTCTAGGTAAGACTTCGACAAAAACAATTTCCGATCTCTTACAGTGGCAAGAACGTTCTCTCTGCCAAAAAAGCTTCCATTACTTCCATCATTTTCTTCTTTCATTTATGAAATTGTTCAAGATCGATCACGCAATTTTCTTTTTACCTCTCTTGCGCTTTACATTTTTTATTAGTTAGCTATGTGGTCTGGCCAGTACCTAACGCGTGCGTCCGGCCAGTGGCAGCCATGGACAATTGCTATACCCTAAAACAGCCTTAAGAAATTTTACCTGTTACATCAATCCAGATGGAAATGTTCAATTTTCCTGCCCTGTTTTCTGCAATGCAAACATATTGTCCTGCGTCTTTGAATGTCACGTTGACGATTCTTAGCGTATTGTTGTTGATCTGGAGAGGTGCTCCTTTCTTTGTCCAGTTGACCTCTGGACAAGGGTCACCATCCAAAATGCATTTCACATCAAACGCAGAGCTCAATGAAAGTGACTGATTCCTCAGTTTTGGGTTCACCTTGGGCGGAACTGAAAAATTATTAATGTTTTTATTATACATCGAACTTTTATGGAAACATGATAACAATCTGCATGGCGGAAGTAATTAAATGATACTGTTTAAATCGAGTCAAATTTTGAGGTTGGTGTTAACTTAACACCACCTTTACATCTGCTTGCGTAAAGGTTTCTCTCATATCCTATGTATGAGAAATTCTGAGAAATCCTTTCTTTTGCTTATCCTTTCCAGAATCATAAAAACGGGGTCGATGTTAACGTCACACGTAATGTGATGTTACTGATGTGCTTTGCCACTTTTATGGTTTTTATAACATCAAGTAATTAAGCACAAGTGTAAGCTATTTTGGGACACGATTATGCACCGTCTGCCTTGGAAATATCGGATAGGACATATAGTAGTTTTAGCTCACTGAGACAGAAGTAAATATTCAGAGTTGAGGACTGGGATTCAGTGCACCAAGCCCTCTCGGTTCTCATGGAACTATTTTTAAGAGGCTACTTTGTTTCACATTTCTAATTAACAATTATTCCACGAGTGCGCGTTGGATATAATCATCTCTTATCGAACAAGCGTGAGTGGAATAATCTTTTTTTAAAAAACGCCCACAAAATTTCCAGTTCACTTCTACACATTCAGGAAAAGCATTTATTCTCCGATAAAACGTAAAAGTCATAAAATGCATCATAAGAATTCGTGCATTTCAGGTCGGCTACTGAGCTGTCGACAAAAAGTTGCCTTCAGCTACTATGATCTTTGACGAGCGGAGAACTTTACACAATCCAATCATGAAGACAATAAGCTTCTAGAATTTCGCAAGGAGCAGGAAGTTTGGTTAAAATTTGTATATCTAAAGTTACCATATTATTGTATTCTAGAAAACAATTAGAAAATGTCTAACAAGGGGTGGGTAGTAATTAGATTTAAGAACTGGGTGAGGCACTTACCATCAACTGTTAGATAGATGTCGCCAGAAAAGGAGCCAGCCTCATTCTCTGCTTTACAGGTGTACAACCCACTGTCCTCAGCTTTAACCTTTGTTAAGTGCAACACCCTTTCCTTTTCAGATCGGGTTGAGTTATCCTTAAACCAGTTTATTTCCGGTGTTGAACCCTCTTCAATTGAGCATTTTAGACTTACGTTATCACCTTCGTGCACGGTACCAGGTTTTGGTCCAAATACTCGTAGAATTGGTGCAACTAAGGAAAATTAAAAAAAGGTTTAAGCTTGGATTAGGCGTACATTATATAGAATTATATTTTTCTACAATTTTAATTGGGTTTCCCATAGCTCAGTGGTTGTAGCATGCCAAACCAGGTATCTGAAATTTAATGGCTTTAACTCGATTGAAAATACACGAACTTGTCTTCCCTTCTAGCGGTGGTATCTCACGGCGCGAGAAAAAAAAGGGGGAGAGAGGTGAGAGACCTTTGCCGGCCCCCGATGCGTTGTCGATCACGCATGCACTGGCGTTTCCTCAACATCCAGCAGCGTTAGTCAAATGCGGCACAACTTACACATACCAACTGTGGGCGCAGAAAGTTTTAGCGTGCAGTCTGGAAGGTCTGTTTTCTACAGTTATTTAACGTGCTTCTTTTAGCTACATAGGGCACTATGCTTCAAACATGGTGATAGCCTAACTATACCAATTTTAAAGTGAAAAGACCGTTTCCTTGTCAACGGTTTACCATGTAGAATCCTGAAAGTAAAACCACCAAAGTCTTCCATTAAGCCTGAAGATTTGCTTTCCACATGGTCAATATCATAACATGTCACGGGAGAAATTATATACATTTTGACTTGAAAGAACTTTATACATTTATTCACACTTATTCCCGTTTCAATTTCTTGTTATCTTTTTATATATCTTTCACGTTTGATAACTTCCCAGGGTAATTCAATCGCATCTATTCAGTCAAGCAGATTTATTCTATCATAATAGTAATTTTCTTAAGGACGCCAGTCGTAGGCTTTGCGTATTTCGTGATAAAGAGATTTTTGGAGTTATAGTTATATTGGAGTTAGTCAGTTATCCACTAGCAGATAACTAACTAATCTGTAGGCTTCGCTGATTTCCAAAATTAACTGTAGGCTCTTAGCCAATAAGAAGACAGTAAGTTCCATGTATAATAATAAACATATTAACAGGTTTTACGGTAACTTTAGATTTCCGCGTCTATTCTGCTCATTACATACCTATCACAGAAACATTTATGTCTTGGTGTTCGGTGCTAGTACTGTATTTTTTATTCTGTTTCATGGTGCATATGTAGAGGCCCTCGTCTCCTGTTCGAACTGAACTGACTCGCAAGTTGCCATCAGGCATCTTGGTGAATCGACCGTTATCAATCTTTTTGTTACCATCTCTTTTCCACTCAAACTGTGGGACTGGAGTTCCTACGCCAGTGCACTTTATTTCACCAGACGTTCCACTTATAAGGGTTTGTTGGGGAAGCACATTTCTAAATTCCGCTTTCAAAGAAATACATATTTATGTCAGTTAAAGTTAGTATTAAGTGGAAAGGAGTAATTTTTGCTCGCGATCGCTAGTTTGACTGAAACCGCCCTTTACATAACTGACATTGTAATAATGGTGCCCCTTTTAAAGACGATTTTTAAAATGACTAATGGAATGAAAACAAAAGGGGTTTAAAGAAAATTGTGAAACTTGAATTTTTCACCTAACCTGTTCACCACAGATCAAGAAAGGTCATTGACAAACGCATCCCAAACGGTTCTATTGCACAGAAACAATTACTATGACGTAAGCACCCTTAATATATTCCACTTAACGTTTAACAGAGTTGATTTTATCGAAAGGACTATCGGGGACATCCTATATACTGGTCATGATAGTAATGGTAGTAATGATGAGCGCAACCGTAAATTGCGGAACGGCGGAAAATTGACCCAAATACCAAAACGCGGAATATGATAAAATGATAACAATAAAGAGAACAAGAACGTTTTAAGGAGAACGCGTACCGACGTGACCAGTTTTATTACCATTATATCTTTTCTTTTCTTTTCGTTCTTTTTACTTGCCTTCTGGACTGAAGTTATACCAAAAGCCGTCAATAGACTCATCGATATCAAATGAAGATAAAGGAATTACCTGGCTCTTTTATTTATGATACGCTCATTAATAAATCTCTTTATTTTCTTCAATGGACGAATGGTACGATGAATGTTGTCTTGAATAGAACTGTTGTTGCGGACAGTGACTGATGGTTCGACAACCTGTGCGACAGTCACCTTCAGAGTCAAGGTATCACGTCAGTTTATGGTATTAAACTCTGGTTATTGACCTGATTGGTCAATTAAGTCGCGACGTTCAATTATTGGTCGTCTGTTAGTTAAACCGTGATGTTATTGGCTATGAAGACTCGTAATGTCATTGGTTCGTTTCGATCCGTGTCTATTGTCACAGTTTTGTTAGTCAAATTGTCAGTTGTCTCCGAGTCGATCACACTCAACCTACTTATGAAAAGACTCCTGGGTTCATAGCTTTCACAGATGTGTCGTAGTCAGAAACCACTGATTTGAAACACTTCAAGATCACGAAAAAAGGATCCGGGAAATCTAAAAATACACCCGTAAAGAGTATAGCAGTTTACTTGTAACGTAAAAATGTTCAAGGATTACGTACATCAAATCCGTTAGAGCTGCGACTTTATGGTGTAACGCTTTCGTAAGCCATCACCCCCTTAGCGCTGACGCTCAAATTATAGTTATGAATTTCAGAGGTTCTATGAAACCGCTCCCGAAGGTACGTCGGACAATTATTATTGAATAGTTTAAACATCGTAACTAATAACGGCCTTTTCTTCTTTCTTCTAAGTTAGACCACTCTAAAGAACTCAGTACATCAGATGATCTGATAGAGCAATCAGCCCGAGTGATGATCCGTGCTGCTCTATTTTGCATCTTTTGCAATTTGTCAGCACGTGTTTTGGAGCAGTCACCCTAGACAACATCACAATAGTCAAAGTAGGGCTGGACAAGTGAATAGTAAATAGTTTTAAGAGTCTCTTGATTATCGGTTAGTTTTCTAGCTAAATACAGCATTCGCTAGCCATTATAGACTTTAGATGAAATATGTTTGATCTGATTATCCCATTTTAGCATTTCATCAATATGAACCCCCAAGAATTTAGTAGAAGGTTTATGTTCAATGGGTCTATTATCCATCTTTAGATTCATGACCTTGGCTTTTGCCAAGTTCTGCCGAGAGCCAATTGTCATATGACTAGTTTTTGAAGTATTGCAACTCAATTTGTTTGTCTTGAGCCAGTTACGCAGTAAAGTCACCATTTAAAAGACATTTAATTGTGGATATATATTCATGAGCTGTAGTTATATATGTATCATCGGCAAACATACCAGGTGTTGTTTGCCGTAGACATTTAGAAAAATCGTTTAATATATAAATTATAAACAATAGTGGTCCAAGTATAGAGCCCTGGGGAATGCCACATGATACATATTGTTCTGTGGATAAGACGCCATTTACATAGCATCCCTGTGTTCTATCAGTCAAATATGATTTAAGCAACTGAGGTGAGGTTACGTTGTAAGCTGAAGCGTTTTTACTGTATATGAAATGACGTAACCTCTTGGGTTGTTTTACTGAAGTACGCTTAAAACGGACACTTCTTAAGGTAAGGACAACGAACACTTTTCTTTGCCCAGAGTCGACAAATTTTCATATATCGTCAACCCTAATTTAGCGGACACTTGTCATCTGCACATTGTCTATGAATGGATACCTTACCAGCGACAACCCAACAAAACAGCGAATCATCTTGAACAGTTTCTATCTCACAAAAATCGTGTAATTGTAACCTTACTTCGTCTGCTGCGAAGACAGCCCAAAGTGAAAACAACGCGTTATACCATCCAGCTTGTTATTTGTGCGTCATTTTCCCGCCGTTTCTCTAAATAAATAATTAAAGGTTCGGTCCACCATTGAATCACTTCGCTTCTCTGGAAACTAATATTAGTAGTTATAATAGGATCCCTTGTGCCTCAACTCAAAAGTACTTTTTCCCGTCATTCCCCTGATTAATCCTGTCATTTCCATTAAAAATTTCTCCAGTTTATTTTCCGTTATTAATTTTATACTCTTTTAACAAAATTACCAGAAACTGGTTTTATGTTAAATTAAGTCATTATTTTATACTATCTTAAAACTAAAATTATTAACTCTGTAATTTTGAGAAAAACTCAATGGATTGGACAAAAACAATAGCTCGCTCACCTCCCTCGCTCCGCTCGGTTGGTCGCTCGCGGGAATGACGGGAAAAAGTACTTTTGAGTTTATCCACAAAAGCATCCTATTATAACTACTATAGAGTAAAAGTGAATCCAGAATAACATTAGGGAAATCCCCATTTGCTGAATTTTTGATTTGTTGTGTGAATGGAGAAACTGGGGGATTTCCCAACAAAAATAATCTAATTAAATATTAAAATGGAATATAGAAGTGATGTTTGTACTGATGAGGATAAAGATTTTATAGTTCATGATGGTTATAATGCTGAGGAAGATCCAACATGTGTGCCAGATGAAGATCAATCATCTGATGATGATAAATATGTTGTTACAGGAAAAGAGTTTAAAAAGCTTACCAAAAAAGCTAAGAAACTTGAAGCTGAATCACTTGATTATTCAAAGCGAAAAAATAATAAGTATGTAGCAACTCTTCCTAATGGAAAGAAAGTGCATTTTGGATCACCACAATATCCAGACTTTTTAATACATAAAGACGAAGAGCGAAACTATAGATATCTAGCACGAGCAAAGAAGGTTAAAAACAAGCAGGGAGAATTCACTTGGGAAAAACGAGAGTCAGCAAATTATTGGTCAGTTAAACTTTTATGGGATGGAAAATAAAAATTGAAAAAAAATGGGCTTAAGATTTAAAGATTTTAATAAAAATGTCACGGCAACGAGTTTTTATTAACGGCAAAAAATTTTATCAACACCCAATTTTTTGTAATTACGCGGCACCCAAAGATGGAGAAGTTGTTAATACAAAAGGTGGAAAAATTTTAAAGATGATTAAAAGTAATGGATATTGTAGGTTTGATCTTGTAAGGCCAAAAAAATACTTTCAGCACGGATTTATTTGGGAAGTTATTAAAGGTGTAATTCCAGAAGGATTTGAGATTGATGATATTAACAATTGTAAAACTGATAACAGAATAGAAAAATCTACAATTATTAACACATCAGAAAAATGTTGAAAAAAGAAAAAATAAACCAATTATTTTGATTAAAATTGAGACTAGTGAGGAAACAATATTTGTAAGTATTAAATCAGCATCGATTGAGTTAAATATAGGCTCTACAATTATTTCACAAATTTGTAACCCTAGAAACTATCATAAAACAGCGATTAGCAGAAAAGATGGTCAAAAGTATTAATTTGTATTTTTAAAATAAAATTGAATTATTGGTTTAAAGATATCTAAACAATTATAAAAATGTGCAACTCACAAGATACGACAATCTAACCAAAAACAAAATTATCTTCAACGATGCTAAGGAGTACAAAGTAAAAGATTCGAAACTTAAATACAAACGCATCAAAATTGAAACAGTTTACCCAAATGGCAAGAAAGGTGATTTAGTAATTGAGACGCCATTTCTTTTCAGTTTTGGCATAAACGAGAAAAAGAACCAAGAAACAAATAAATGAATTGGTTATAGTTTACCAGTTTGCTTATAGAGTAAAGATTGTAGTCGAAGTTCTCCATAGAAACAGTTTTATGAATTTATATGCAAAATCGCAGAGGTTTGTAAAGAACATCTTTCAGAGGAATACGGTGCAGATGAAGCATCATATATGTCTGAGCCATTATATTACAAAAAGATTGAGTATTTTGACAAAAAGGGTAAAAAGAAAACTAATTTAGACCAGTCAGCCGCGCCAGTACTCTACGCAAAACTCATTTGCTCTGACAAAACCAAAAAAATTCTTTCTCTGTTTAGAGCAAAAGGTAAAGATAGTGTTAATCCCTTTAATTATCTTAATCAGTATTGCTATGTCAAAATGGCTTTAGTGATTGAAGGAATATTTATTAGTAAAACTGTTACATCTTTACAGATGAAAGTACATGAGTTCTATGTTAAACCATTGAAACCTCGCGAATCTTTACTTACAATTAAAGAGAGTGATGAGGAGCAAAGCGAGAGTGAAGAGGATAATGAAAGTGATACTGAGAAAGGGAGCCGAAGCAAGCGAGAATGGTGATAATATTGAAGATCTAATTATTTCTGATAAAGAGGAGGAAGTAACTGAGTAGAAATGAGAAAAGGGTAATATTAGGATTTATTTTTAATACAAAATTTGTATTAAAAATCAACCAAATGTTTACTGATAAAATCAGAACCTTTATCTGTCCATAGCATTTGCGGTTTACGTTTACTCTTGAATATGTCATCAGATGCTTTACTAACAGTTTCAGTTTTTTTTGTCTTTTAGACCACTAATCCATCCATACTTGCTAAACAAATCAATAGCCATTAGAAGATATTTAATACCTTTGTTCCACTTACTAAACTTTTGTATTTCAACCAAATCAGCAGCCCAGATAGCATCAATTCCGATTGAGATTACTGATCTCTTTTGAAAGTTTCTTGTGATTGGTTTGTGAAGTTCGTCGGCTAATTGTTGAGACCAATCACTATTACTCAACGCCGACGCGCGTTTTTTGAAGACCAAGTCCAAGTTTTTTCTTTGTATTAATCAAGAATCTAGCAGTTGAGCCCCACTTTGGCATTTCACCGTATGGAATCTAATCCAATGACTGTACCATCTCTCGGTCGCAATCACCTTTGTTTCTTCCCATGTCATAACAGATATCGTGATATGCTGCTATCTCATCAACGCGGTTATACGGTTTAACTTTCCACTCTGTTACTTCACCAATTTCCATCCTGCTTTTGGTCTTGGGAGTTTTCCAATCCATTTGTGAATATCAACTCCACTTCCAAAACTTAGTAACGGATTATTTTCCCAAAAGTGTTCATCAATGTTAATTCCATACTTTTTTCTTATAACCTCTGGCCATGTATCTGGATTAGATGAAATAATGTTGTTGATATCTAATATATAGATTTAGCCAGGGCTAAAAGCGAAGCTCCTATTAACTCAACTTTATAACTTAAATCAAACAATAAACTTGTATTCCTCAAATCAGTTAACTTTAGAGCACATTCATGTGACTTTTGAGGGAAAGGCTAAGTGATTTTAGAGAAAAATAATTTGCAAACAGTCCAAGCTAAGAGTGAA